TTTTTTTTTAATTTCGTAAACTTGTAAAGGAGCTTAGTAGTAATGCAGAAATTATTGAATTTTTCAAATTGCCAATTTCTCTTGTTACTTAAAATATAGACCATAATTCAATTTAATTTTTAACTTCTTGTAGGGTGTTATAGTAATCGTCCAAAAATCGAGCATAAAAATTTTGCAGATCTTTACCTTTCAGAGATTTCTGTACATTTTAGAATACCTTAGAAAAAAATGGATGTGCGTGTGTGTATGTATGTAGCGTCCGAATCAACCAATTTGAATGATTAAAAAAACATTCGATTCCTATTGGTAGGGAGACGTGCTGATTCGTTTCTGGCTAAGTTAAGACAGGTTTAGCCATTTCGGAGATACGAAGAGAAACTTGCAAAAAATAACAGTTGTTGAGAGAAAAGATCATTTGATTAGAATAATTCAAAAAACATTTTGCTTGTGTTGAAAGGGTGAAAAATTATTAGTTTAGTTATGGTTAGTTAGAATGGGGAAGGTAAAAAAAGTTTTGTATTAATTTTTTTTAATTCCCAATGGTTTGTTTTAATTATCTAAAATGATTCAGATTTTGAATTTAATTCCAGCTAAAAACAATTAAAATTTCTCGAATATTTCATTACAGTTGGGAAAGCTCCAGCAATATTCCTCAAGGGACGATGCCATACACCTCTAGTTATATTTTGTGGTTGCGTCTTCTATATGTAATTTTCAATTCATGTAAATATGTATACTTATTTATATATACAATATCAAATAATTTTTCACCCTAAGGTTAATTGAATAACTGCTTAAGTTCAAAACAGCCGTAATAAATTTGACACATCAAAGCAAGTAATTTTTACATAATGATAATCATTGTGATGCTAAATGAATACTTACTTAATTTTTTTTTTAAAAAGAATGATCATTTTTTTACTTGATCTGTCATAATTTGCGTCATGTTGAGATTCAGCTGTGATCTTTCGCTTTAACTATAACAAAAAATATGTAATGACTTTTAACTTCTTTTATCACGAGATTTTAGGGAATCGCTTGGTAAAAACTAGGTTTCATTGACGTAAGATATATATGATGGATGGTTGAAGAATGAAAACGGTTGTGTCAAAATTAGAATACAGGTGTACCGTAAACCGTTATTGAGGACATCGAACTCTTTTTTAATTTCAATAACTTTAACATTTGACTTTTCGCACTTATCTTACAATAATCTCTTTTGATTTTGATTTTGGCTTATTCCATCTTTTTCACATGATGGCACAAGAGAGACAAAATTTTTTAACAGTAAAAGAAAATAAAAAAGGATTACGTCAATCAACTTATAGAAATATTAAAAATTAAATTAGCGACTTTATTCAAATATGATTTGTGTCATATTCCATTCAAATATTTATGTATAAGTTAAATATGCTGTTAATAATCTCATTTAAATCGTGAATTTATTTTCAAATTTTTACGTGAGACATTAAATATTTCTGGACAATGTAGCATCCTAATATTTAATACTTCATATAAATTGAATTAAATAAAAAATAAACTAGTGGTGCATGCCATCGTGCCTTAAGGCAAATTGCTGGAACTTCCCGTACCGTGATAAATTATTGGAGGAATATTAAATATTTTCAAATAGATTATTATAAATACTGTAACATTGTCTGATATTTATAAGAACTATATAAACTAAATTGCAAAGATAAAATTATTTATTTGAAGTATATAAGTGAGCTTTAGAACTTCAGCTAGAATTAAAATTAAAATCCGAATTATTATCGATATACAAAAAAAATTGGAAAAAAAATTCTGTTCCCAAAAGCAATTGTTTCGTCAACACAAGCAGAAAGTTTTTTGAATCATTCAAATCGGATGCTTAGTTCTCTCAAAAACTGCTATTTTTTGCACATTTAGCTCGTTATCTCCGAAACGGCTGGGCCTGCGTTTTTCGAAAACTAATCACCACTTTTCCTCGTCATTACAAATTGATTCTTTTTTTCGATCATTCAAATCAGATGTTCCGTTCTTTTAAAAACTTGATTTCTATTTACTGCACTCTTTGTCCCGTATCTATAAAACGGCTGGACCTGCCATTGCCAAAAACTAATGAGTGCATCTCCCTATCAATAGGAATCGAATGTTTTTCGAATCATTCATATCGGATGATCCGTATCCATACATACGCCCACACATACACACACATCTATTGTCTGGGATGCGTAAAAGCATTTCCTTCGCTATACAAAAAAAAAAAACACACACATCTATTTTTTCTGAAGTTTGCCAAAATGTTCAGAGACCTTCAAAAAGTGAAGAAATGCAAAAATTTTCAATTTCAATTTTTGGACGATTACAATAACTTACCCTACGGGAAGTTAATTAATGTCGTAAATACATCATAATGTTTACCAAGAAGTCTCTCAAATTTTAAATTTTCCGTAGGAAGGATAAAAATTGCAGAAAATCGAAACTGAAAATTTTTGCTTATCTTCACCTTTTAAAGGTTTCTAAACTTTTTGGCATACATAAAAAACATGGATGTGTGTGTATGTGTGTATGTAGTATGGATACCATTTTTAATCGGCGTTCGATTTCTATTGAAACATTCAAAAAACATTCGATTCCTATTGATAGGAAGACTATTAGTTTTTGGCAAAGACAGGACCAGCTGTATCGGGTATACGGTGCAAAAAGTGCCAAAAATTGCTTTGGATTTGAATGATTCAAACATTATTTGAATTTGACGGATCCAGAAGTTTGGGTGTTGGCGAAATAAATTTGGTAGTTATTATTGATTCATATTTATATAGAAATATTGATATTTGAATGACAGGTAGATAAGTAGGCAGGTTTACAGGTACACTGGTGAACAGAACAGAACAATAAGAAAGGTAGACTGGTAGAAAGGCAGGAAAGTAGAGAAGTGGGCACGTCGACTGGTGGGGAGTTCGAATGGTAGGCAGGTAGACAAATAGACAGGTAAGCAGGTAAGCAGGTAAGCAGGTAAGCAGGTAGGCAGGTTCAAACGTAGGCAAGTTGAAACTTAGACCTGTAGACTCTTAGACAGGAAGTCACTTAAACATGTAGATACTTGAAAGCAGATAAATCATATAAAGTTTACTTATATTGAGAAGTTTATGCAACTGGCTTTAAGTCTCACTTCTACTAATTGTTTTAATAAAAAATGTTAGAAAATTAGAAAATTTACCAACATGATATTAATTTAGGATTGTATATGTAACATAGTTAAGCCATGAAGCTTAGATTTCATTGGGCAGTGTACATATATGCGAAATACAAGTAAATATAATAAATGATATGCAATAAAAGAAATATATGAAACAATAAGGAAGAGTTTTCAGTCCAATTAATGGAATTGCTTTTAAACCAAATTCACACGTTCCGCCAAAGTGAACAATATATCATTATAAAATAAGTAAAATTGACCCTGAAATTTAGCACAGGCGACCTAAATTCCATTTATAATTTATTTCAAGTTACGTGTTATTTGTCACTCTGTAACATTGACAATAAAAAATTGGCATAGCTTTTTGTTTTGATCACAAACAGATTTTATTACATTTGCTTTTTTGTAATATCATTGCCGTTCGGGATGACAAATCAAATTCGCAATCTGATGATGTTTTAAGTCTTCTCCGAAACAGTCAAGAACAAAAGACGTCTACATTGAAAGATAATTTATTATTGCTTTTTATGATATATTTAAGTATTATTTTTACAACCCGATATTGCTGATGGCAATCAGTTGCCATGCAAATCATGAGTTAATGTTTGTGGTAAATCCAAACTCCTTTCACCAATTGGGTAGATACTATTAAAGTTGTAGTATAAAGTTGAATCTTTTTTTTTTTTAAAAATATCAGGTTTATTTCAATAAGCTAAACTATACACTATATTGGGAATGTATTATTTAATTGTATGATAATTCAGATATTTCTTTAACTTCCCTTAGGATATGATATGATATGTATGATATGATATGTATTAGATATACAAATTAGATATACAAATTTACTATTAAATAACAATACAACCAAATATAAAATACAAATAAAGGAGTGCTAAACTAATTTAATTTTGTGTCTTGATTTTATGAAACTTGATATTACGTCTTCGTTTAGAGCATCTTCAAAAGTTGAGGTCTTGTTTATCCATTAATTTGCAGAAATTATTAAAAAGTTTAGAAGCTTTTCTGAGAAAAAAGAGCAGTATCAGAGACGAAGAAAAATATTTCACAGCTAAGTAATACTCAGTTATAGCCAAAAATTACTGTATTTGTAAGATATCACATATAATTAATAACAATAGATATTTATAATATGAAGGGGATGGTACCACTGTATTTCTTGAAGTCAAAATTAATATATTCAGAAATGTCATAAAAATTGTTGGCTTTTAGTAAATTAATCAAAACGTTGTGGAATTTATATATTGCTATTATAGAAATGAAATTATTGCCATATTTAAAAACATACAGCTTTTTGATAAAATAATATACAAGCGGTTTTTATCAACGTTAATGTAAAATGAGTTTATCGGCGTTTCGCATTTGAGAGTTTCTTTTTTTCTTCCGAAATTGCAAGAAATTTTAAATCCTTAAAGCACTTCTATGTTATGCTGTATTTTAATCATTGTGGGATAATTTGCTACTGTCTTTCTGAAAAAGCTCTCAAATATAATTTTACTTTTATTCATTTAGGTTTATTAATTAGGGCACACCTTAAACTTATCACCTAAACTACTTTGATAAATATGAACTCAAACATTTTGCAAAAACGCAACAGTATATATATATATATATATATATATATATATATATATATATATATATATATATATATTGTGTACATGCTCTTGAATTTAGTATCAACACTATGATCACTGAAAAATGTTTTCTATATTTGCCATTCTGGAAATAGATAAATAGCTGATAATGTTGCAATACCCATAATATATCAAATACAATAAAATGTTGTATGCAAATATCTATTTTATTATTTTAATTTTGTTCCATCAATAACAATTCAAAAATTATTTTGGCTACTTATACAACCTTGCACGGGATCTTGAAACATACTACTGACTCATTACTGTCATCCACAAGTGACACCATCAAGTCCAAGTTTATCTGAAAGTGTAAGATGAATTCATATCAATATAAAATAAATCACAAATTAAATAAATTTATAAAAGATATATTAGACATGCTCTTAAATAACTCATATAATTTAGATTGATATGATTTAATCACTAATTACTTCAACATAATGGTTTCCCACCAATGATACAAAAAATTTAATTATTGTTTATAATTATTAGAATAATACAAAAATTTTAACTTTAATAAAATATTGATTATCAATATATCTGTATCAAGTTCTTGGTTGCAGGTTTAATATATAAATGGTTATAAAAAACAATGACATCAAATGAAGCAATTAGTCAAAGATATTCGTAAGGAACTTATAACCTACAGTAATACCCCGTATAACGTCGTTTCCTTTAGCGCTGTTTTGATTTAGCGCTTTTTTATTTGAACCCAAGTTTTGAAGGGTTAAATGTGGAAGATGTCGAAGAAATACATACTTCAAGAAGCTGCGCATTCCTTCTAATGATGAGCTCAAGAAATTGATAAAACAAGAAGAAAACAAAAATGTTGAAAGCAGTGATTCAGAGGAAGAGCAAAAAGGACTTTTGATGACATTTGTAAAAAGGAGTTTGTCTGACATAGAAATAATGAATCAATTAATTGAAAATGATCTGAATTTTACAGGAGCTCAAATGTAAGGCTTGGTATTAAAAATGCTCCATTCGTTTATAAAAAACTTTTAAGAGAACAATGCAAAAGAAAAGGTGAAACACCATTAGATGCTTTTGTCACAAAAAAGGCAGAACATAGAAAACGCAGAAAGCTAACTAAATATGATTAAATATGATTTATATATTTTGCAAGAAATATTAATGTGGTATTAATTTGGGCTTTATGAAATAAATGTTAGGTTTTATATTTTAGTAAAAAAACAGACTTTTCAATTTTAACACCAAACCAATTTCTTAGCCGTCTTTTCTTAACCCCAATATTTTCATGTAAAGAGCCTTGTTTAGCGCTGTTTTGCATTGCGCAAAACTTTGAAGAAACATATATGCATTTTTCTTATTTATAATCACGAATATATTTTATCTTAGCTTATAAGTGAATTGAAATTTTTGGCAAATTACAGTTTTCATTTGTTTTCAGTGCCAAACAATGCCTAAAATATTTTCAATGTCAAACAATGCTAAACGGTTTTTTGTAATTTTGTTCATTTATTTCTACAAACTATCTATATTTCTATAATCATATAGACTAAAAAAATCCCTTAACAAACTTCAGAAAGATTTATCAAAATCCGAATAATCGTTTAGGAGGAGTATCCTTTCATACATCATTACAGAAGAATTTATATATAAGATATGACATGTGTGTTGAATATTAGAAGAATATATTATTAATTCATATGTTATAATACTTACTGAAGGGTAAGATTGCAGTACTGGAACTTTAAGATTGTAAGTAACTTGGTCACCTTTCTTCAAGGGGCATTGGGCGCCATCGTTCAAATGATCACAAGCATTGTTTAAATGAGGAGGTAGGGGATATGGAACCGTCAAACCGCCGACTTTGGCTTTTACCTGTGCAATAGTTCAAGTTATATTGATTATAAAAATTAAATTTATCTTTTAAAAAACCGTAAATAATGTTCTTTTTGAAAATATCTTACTCACATATGGTGCAAGAGTAGCAGTATCGCTCGGAAGAGTCAATTTAACTTCGGTCAAGGAATCCGTACCGCGTTTCAGAGAGCAAGGCAATCTGTCGCAACCGGCAACTTCCACGCTGTCCGGGAGCGGCGTATTCCGATCACCTAAAATAGTAATGAATTTCATTAATAACAGGTAATTTAATCTTCAGCATAATTTTCAAGAATTTTTGTATAACAGATGTTGTTGATTTTTAAATATATAGTTTAGCTGTTATGGCGACTGTCACTGTACCCTGGCACAACCGTACCTAGGCTTCCCTACTTGTTTATCTATGGTGTAAATATGTACATCATTATAAATGAAGGAAGAAGTTGTTAAAAAGTTATTCGTTTATTAAGTCATGTGATGGATTACATTTTCAAGGAATTAAAGGTTCCAAATGTTCTTGAAATAATGTTAAAATTTATGGCAAATGAGTAATAATTATTTAATTAATTGGTTTAGAGTTTAATTTTTTTAAATTCTGTATTCAACGCTATTGATTTCAATCTTTTAAGGCTACATGATATATCATTCAGTATGTGATATAAAGTTTGAAAAGTATCATAAATTACAGTTTAACATAAAAACACCAAAAACAGCAAACAAGTTTAAGTCATATTTTTGAGCAAAATATTTATAGCGCAATTGCATAGGTATTCATCCCTTATAACACATTGTGTTGCTTATACTACCCCCTGTGCTAAACAAAAATGAAATTAGTAAAAATTAAATGTGATAATCTGTTCTGTTAGAAACAGATATTATATCAATTTTTATCATTATATTATATCAACTTCTGAAATGCGAAAAAAGTAAACCTGCTCTTTTAGATCACTTTTCACGAAAAAAAACCCGATCGATGGATCGTTGGAGAATAACCCGTGGTTTATAAAATCAAAGTACCAAAACAAGATAAATTCAGAAATTAGAAACTGGAAATAGAAGTTAAAATTCTAAAGTGCAAGGATATCGAATGCACCAGTTCAGCGCTCGCTATTAACAACGTTTCACGCAACATATGCGTGCGCAATGGTGAATATGTTTACAGATTTAACACTTCTCATGTTGAAGTTTGATAAATATTTTTGCTTTGTAATACACAATAAAAAATATAACTCTTTAAGATCACTTTTCACGAAAGAAAAACCGATCGTTGGATCGTTGGAGAATAAACCGTGGTTTATAAAATAAAAACCATTATTACTGGAGCTGGAAATTGACAAGGCTGGATTAAAGTGCCAACACAAGATAAATTTAGAAAATAGAAATTGGAAATAGATTTTAAAATTCTAAAGCGCAAGGATATATCGAATGCACCTATTACGCTCAGCGTCTGGGTATTAACAACGGTCTCACGCAGCATATGCGTGCGCAGTAGTGAAAATGTTAAAAGATTCAACAATTCTCATGTTTGATGAATATTTTTGCTATGTATTATACACTAAAAAACTATGTTTAATTAATTATGAAGCTGTTTACGCTCTATTTAGATAATAGCCCAACGTTTATCCTATCGATATTTGATAAATTATTTATTATGGAAATTTCTCTGATATTAATCATATATTATTTATTAGATGCAGAAATTACCAAGAAGAGTTATTTTCAATCTTTATTTCCAAGTGCTACTGCTCGGTATCGGGTTGACCGTAATAAGCAGTAGCGATTAGAATTTTTTTTTCTCCTTGAATAAATCAATTAGAATTTTTTCATAATTGAAATAATATATTTTTCCATTAATATTTGCAAAATTATTATATAACTTTACTCAAATGAGTTTTTAATATTAATTTCAAACTTTCATTTTTTGTAAATAACATAATTTTGCTCAAAGATTTAGTTTAACGCTATTGATTTAACTAATTAATTGATGATTTGTAGTGTTTTTTATTTTGTTATGACCAAAATGTTGCAAGAAATTTATTTCGTTGACACTCTATTTGTTACATATGTATTGCACAAAATATTTATTAAATTAACAAATTAATCAAGATCGCTAATATAATATATTATTATAATTTTGAATAATAAAAATTTTCGTTTGTGTTATTATCTTTTCAAGTTTATGACAAGTTAATTAATTTCACTGTAACAACTCCATAAATATAATTTTTTTATTATGTTATATTATGATTTATTACACATGGATTTAGATTTGCATTCTTTATGTAACCAAAGATGAATTACATTTTATATTAACACTTAACATGCAAATACCACACATTTATTCAAAGATATTTGCAACAATCTTGATTAATTTGTTAATTTAATAAATATTTTGTGCAGTACATATGTTACAAACCTAGTGTCAACAAAATTAAATTACTTGCAACATTTCAGTCATAATGAAAGAAAAAAAAAAATGTACTAAAAATCATCAATTAATTAAATAAATCAATAGCGTTGAATGTAGAATTAAAAAGGAAAAAATAAACTCTAAACCGATTAATCAAATAATTATTACTCATTTGCCATGAATTTCAGCAATATTTTAAGTATTTATGATAAGAGTAAATATTTTATATTTTCCTAAAACACGAAAATAAACATTTCTTCAGAAAAAATTCATATAAACTTATTATTAAGGCTTCAGCGCAAAAGATTTGGGGTGTATGTAAAGGCTATTATAATTTTTATTATAATTATATAATTTATTTGTACCATAATTATTAAGATTTTAATCCATGTTTATAAACTAAATACGATTTTTATATGTGACACGCAGTAAAATAGTTAAATCAATAAATTATAAATTAATATCGTTCAAAATGCGCTACATGATCTACTTTTAATTCCAGATAAATCTTATTAGAAAGTGTAATTTATTCATTGGCAATAATATATAGGTAAAAACAATAAAGAAGATTGTACACATCTGACATAAAACATTTTTTTACATTTTTTTGTAATTTATTAACTATATCGCATCCGCATTTGATACTTGTATATGCGTCAGAAATGCGTCAATATTATCATGAATATTAATACAAATGCTTTTTTATTGAAAATAATATTGTACTAGAATGTATAATTGTTAAAGTTTGACTTTTTTTGACGTTTGATTTTTCAATATTTTCATTATGTAGATGATTGATACTTCAATGTAAATATAAATTTTCTGTAATTATTGAATTCTTTATAAAAGAGTTAGCTTTGAATATTGCCAGCTTTAGAATATATTAACCAGAGCAATCAGAACTATTTTCTAACAGTAGGGTAGAACAAAGCTTAAAGCTCCGCGAAATAAAAAGACCGATCAGAAGGCAACCCAATGGATGTCTTTTCTTCTGGGATGAAAATTTTACTTTTCTTCTGAAGTGTGATGCGATACGTTGCAACAATCTTATAAAATTTGAAAATAATTTGGGTCTATAATTGAAAACGGACATTACTACTGCTTGATATCAGTTAGTACGTAGCGCACGTTTTGAATTCATAACCCTGTGATTGCAAGGCTAAAGCATTTACATATATAATACGAACGCCACTAGTTTTAGAATAGAATAATTGCAATAAATAATTTTATTACATAATTTGTCACAACTAATGAATTTCCTGTATTTATTCGATGATAATGGATAAGGTTAACAAAATTTGAAACTAGGTGTTAATGGCTTTCAGGCCAGTTGTAGAAGCAGTCCGATATATGTAAATAAATGAATAATCATTTTTTAGCTTTTAAAATTGACACAAAACTTTAAATTTTGACATTGCCCTCTATTTTTAATATTGATGAACTTCTTTAATGTAACTCTTTTTGAATAGGTCTTAATTTTTTAAATCTGTACAGTCGTTTTGGAAAAATGTGGTTCAAAAGGACTTATCGAGAAGAAATAAAATTAGCAATGTGATTTTCTGACGAATGCTTAAACTTGTTTTTTTCGAAGTTAATAACAATTATTGATATGAAACTATATTACTTACATTTTGCAAACTTTTGTAGCTTGAACTGCCAAGGGCACAATAATAGCTAAAAACAACAAAAAGACGCATTTTGATAATTAGAAACACAATGAATCAATTACTGCTTAATTCACTAAATCAACCAGGACAGTACGATTTTCTGGTGGCTTTGGCAGAAACTTATATAGTTCTAAAATGTTAGAAATCTTGTAAATCAAATGACGTGCAAGATTTTTTCCAAGTCATTGATGACAATTAGTTTATTGTTTTCAATGCAATTTACGCCAGGTGTTCCATTCAATTGTGAGTGCATTTATCAAATAAAAATTATAAGTGGATTAGTTGTATGTTATGATAAAGGATTAATATGCAGCAATTTCACATATATTTTCACGCAATTTAAATATAAACCTTTGATACCGTGGGTTCAAAGAGCGGAAGGTTTAGGTTTGGGTTTTAATTATTTTTATTTATATCCATTTTTGTATCACAGCAAACATCATCTTCTGTCGTAAAATAAGTAAAAGTAAAAAATAAGTAAAAATTAGATGCCCATATTAGAAATTAATAATATGACTATGCCATATGTGATGATACTATTCAGAAAATTTTATTATAAAAGAATAGTGTGTAATATGACGAATAAACTTGTAAAACTTGTAATATTGATTTTTTTCAAATTAATTTACCTTCATAATTGTTGTTTTTTATTATTAACATCTTTGCCAAGTGAAGGTTTAGTTGGTCCTTTATACCCCACCCACGAGTAACCTATTATAAAGGTTATAATAAACATCCGTTGAATCAAGTTTTAAAATAACAATAAATCTTGTAAAACAATTAAATAACGTATACTTGAAAATTAGATTAAGGTCTCGTAATTAAACAATAATGCCCACATTCAAAAAAACTAAAGCAATAGTTTTGTAATAAATTTTCAAACATAGCCATTTATTTCGTAGCAGCACAGTTGTCCTATTTGAGGTAATGACTTGTTACACATTTTTTGCCCTGTACTTTCATATATTGTTGCTAAGAAATCCTTACTTCATTTGATTTTGAGTTGGACCATTTTACCCGCGGAGTTTTGAGGCTAGCTACTGTACTTGTTAATAACTATAAATCTTTGCTAAATTTTAAATTTTTCAAATATCGCATTTTTTTCTTTCTGCGTATACATAGATTAATTAATTAATTTAAATTTTCCAATCTTTTATAAAAGATTATGTTTAGAGTGCCTCATCCAATTAATAATTGAACACCTGGGATGAATTTGTTTATTATTGAACACCTGGCCTAAGCTTTAAAAAACAATAGATAAATATTATCAGAAACGCATGTAAAGAAATATGCAAGCACGTGATAATAGATAGTTGCCTAATGATAAGAGAGATAAATTTAATAAAGTTGCTATATAAACCTTGTCAAAAATCTATAGAAGGTCATAGTCATTTTAGTGATTCAATAAATCATTTCTTCATTTTGACAAATCAGTATTAATTTTCAAAATGCGTGCCTTGATTGTTTTGGCTATCATTGTGCCTTTTGCTGTACAAGCTACCACTATTGCAAAATGTAAGTAGAAACTATTATTATAAAAAAGTTCTATCTTTAAAAAAAAATAGCGCCATTATTTTTCACCATTAATGTTTTTGTTTTGCCGCCTGGCGACTTATTTAATATTACATTTTATTATATTACTATTTATTATATTCATTATTATTATTATTATTATTATTATTATTTTATCATTATTATTATCATTATTTATATTTTATTATTATTATTATTTATTATTATTAGTATTAGTATATGATAATATAAATTACATTCACTTATTATTTATTATTACAAATTTTTGAAACTGGTACTGATAAATTAGGTTTGTCTTATTCAACCTGTTATAAAAAATTAAACTAATATTATACCACAAAAACTTGAAATTGGGTAGGGCGGAGCACAAAGGTCCAATTTGACTTTGAGCAATCAGTGACTAATAAAAATATTATGATAAAATTTTTTGCTAGATTGCCGTCTTATTTGTTTTCAATAAAATCTTCATATGAATAAAAAATTCACCAATTTCGTCGCCAATAGTCTCGAGTTTAATTTATGATTTTGTACTACTTAAATATTATAAGAATACATAGTTAATATTTGTACAATAAAAAACTGTCGACAGATATAAATATGAGTGGTAGATTGTTTCATTTTAATATTATTGATCATAATTTACATTATCAAAGAACACGGTTCAATCAATTTATATAAACAGTTATTAATTAATATCATTACATAGCAAAATTGATTTTTATTTTATTTGATAAAGTCTTCTGAAATTAATTTTATTTTTATGTAAATTTTTGTGCATTTGTAAACAAAATTGGGCGCCCATTTACGCTTTTAATTTTTGCATAATGTTTAAATTAGTTGATGTTAGCAAATTCTTTTACGTCAATGCTTCGATATTTGAATATATATTCAATTTTATATAAAATTGTTCTTTAGTTGAATTAAAATTTGTCATTTAATCAATAATATTTGGTACTTTATGGCTTAACTTAACTTAATGTTAACAATTCAAATTTTGTTCTAAGAATTTTGTTCATTAAAAAGTAGAGTTTAAGTATTGTGACAACTGAATAAATTTCAAAAAAATAATTTTTAGTATAAAATTGCACAAACTGATAATCACTTTATCTACATATTGGCTAATAAAAATTTTATGGTAGATTTTATCACATTTGCGATAAAAAAATTCTTATATCTGGTTATCTGAATTCAAATTATAATAAACTTTATATCTGATTAAAACCTAATTTTATTGATACGACTCGATTTATTTGGGTAATAACTTAATTTCATTGATTAATCGTGTATTGTCAATCATTCTTGAACTTAAAAAAATGACATAGATATTAATTAATTAAAACTATATTAATTGTATTTTACTAATCTGTTTAGGGAATATGAATTAATGATTCATCATAGTTAAATTCTGATGTAGAAATTTTATTTTGCAATGCACATAGGATATTGTTTTCTGGTTTGCTACAAAAATGTAAAATAATGGAAACAAAATGTTATATGTCTTCAAAATTTCTTACAACTATTTTGTGGGTAATATTTTGTTGCTGATATTGGTCTTCCATCAAGTCAAAAATTTAAGATATATGTATCAATTTTATTATTACCTCTTGAAGGTGATAATGGAGCTCCTCTGCCAACCAGTGTTGACGTCGAAGGATGTGACAAATTACCTTGTCCATTAGTTCGTGGAAGCACCTCTTTGACTGATGTTAAATTTACTGTCTCTGCCGATTCTGCTACTCTGAAACCAGAAGTAAGATAAAAAATTTAAAAGTTCGTATTAAAAACCTAAATAAAATTTCGAATTTATTGGGCTATTGGTCTAATTGAATGTGTAAGAGAACTACTACTGGTATTTAAATATTTTGACAATATTTTTTTTATTTTTGCAATTTATTTATTCAATACAATCAAATGAATATTTTAAATTTGAAAAAATACATAAATTACATGAATCTTTTTATATAAAAATACATAATGTGCTTAAAAAGTAGAACTTATTTATTTAAACTTATCTATTTAAACCGATTCTGCACCATAACAGACAAATGTTATGGCAAGACTATGTTATGAAAACTTTCCATACTAATTCGTTCTAAATATTGACAAAACCCAAGTGGTTGCTGTACAGTCAGGCGTTTTCCTCAGGTTGTCAGTTAGAAAACCTTCTCAACATACGAGTGATGTTGCAGTTTAGTGTAAACCGCCTGAATAAACAGCAAATACATGACATTTTGACAGTGTTCAGTATGATTCGGTAGCATAATGTATGGAAGTTGGAGCGTAACATGCCTTGCCATAACATTGGTCTGTTGTGCG